CCGTCCGAACCGACAGCTACACTTGAAGCCGCATGTACAGCTGCAGTGCCCATGAACCTCCAAGATATGCTTTCCCTTAAGAACTCAAAACCTGCTGTTATGTAGGTTCTTCTTCCCAAACCCCTTTTAGGATTCTTAGGCAACCTACAAAGAAGTAGGTTTTGGGTTCTGCAGGTAAGGAGCGGGGCGGCAAGTGGCCAGTCGTCGTGAGCTACAGAGGACCTCATTCAGTTTTCGAAGAAGAGGGAGCCCGGGGGCTCAGCGGCACGCAGCAGTGAGGTCCCAAGCACTGGCCCCTGGGCCGCGGCCAGGCCTTCGCTGCTTCGATGCCTCCGATGCGTTTCTGTGCTATTTGAATCGCGTAGATCGTTTCAGCACCATTTCGTTGGCAGGAGTTCTTCCCTTCTGCACAGCGCGGCCAAAGAAGTGGGTGGCAGTGGAAGGCTTTTGTCTGCGTGCTGGCAGATAACCTTCATTGTCACAAAGGCATCAAAAGCATCAACAAAGGCATCAAAGGCATGCCTCGTCTCCAGCACTGCGGAGGCTCCGTGCGATGAAGCTCTGGGATCGCCACGCGACTTGACAATATGTGAGCCAAGCACACCTCTTCTTGCGGATGTCTTCAGCTATGTGCAATGTTTGATCGAACCGGCGACTTGCTTTAACCCTACCTTGTAAGCCCCATTCCCCGAACCTTAAACTTTGTGGCCGTCTGCAGAGCTGCGCCACCTCTTCCTCCTTCTTTTGGCTGTGGCAGGGGATCTTGGACCCGTAAGCGCCTCGTGCCGTCCACGCTTCAGAAGATCTTCCACAGAAAGATTGTGCACTCATCTTCCAGGAATGAAGTAGCGCGAAACTGGCAGCCGTGATGGAGCACGGAGTTGTCTTGCATTTGGAGAAGTCGATGGCTTTCGCAGTGCCTCTGCAAGGGAGAGGCCTGGCCTGAGAGTGCGTCGTTTCTCTAAACCCTCGCGAATGTCAGCATGAATGCCATTCTTTTCTGAGTGTTGAGTTCCCAGAGTACTGCTTGCCATGCAGTGGTCTGGCAGTACTGCCGCTGTCTAGACGGAGGCCCACATCTGGATAGAGACTCAGAAGCCTTGATGGAAGCGCGGACAGTGGGAGAAGTTGCTAGGCACGCTTTCGGAGTGCTTTGGCGAGAAAGGCATAGCCTGACAGAGGATTGTTTCTTAGAACCCTTACGCATGTCAGTATGCGTGCTGCTCTTTGTCAGAAGTCGTGTTGCCATCTAGTGCACTCGCCACCCCCCCCACCCTCACTGCCCTCCCCGCCTATGTTAGCTGCACGTGCCACGTGACGGCGAATCGCACAAGCTGATCTTTGTTCAGCTGAGATGCCCAGATTCCACTTCTGGACTGCGGAGGTCTAGGTGCAAAGTGGCACTTCCACTGGGCCTGCAAGATTGCAGGCTGTCAACTCTGGGGTTTGGGGATTAAGTTTGTTTTCTCACATGGGGTTGTGGCCTTCTGGGGTCGTCATGCTGCGCACTGTTTTGTGTGTGTGTGGGAGCCCTCTATAAAGGCTGTAAAGACAACTTCGCCGCCGTTTGCAGGATCCTTTTGACTGTTCGGTCTGATGGGGTCCGGGTCCGGGAGAGCTGCCGACCTTCGGCTGCTGCTGGGGGGAGCGGCTCCTTCTGAAATCGAAAGAGGTCCCGACTCGGTTTTTGACTGGGAGGAGGGGAGGAGTTGTGTGTCCAACATACGTAAGAAGGGCGCGACAAGTCAAGGTTGTTCCTTCTAGGCTCCAACCTGGCTGGGACGTGGTCATGCGAAAGCGAGAACATGTGTTCTTTCGCCGCGGATGACGTCCGGGCTGGTGTTTGGAATGGCTCAGTGGTCGTGAAGATGACGGACTCGCTGTCGTTTGGGTTTGTCCGGTGGGTGGACAGCTGGCGGCCTGACCAGAGACATACTACTTCCTGACCTCGACGACCTGGACCAATGGGGGTTTGCGGGGCGTTGAGGTGGAGGTTTGGGGTGGCGGGGCTCGGCACGGTGGAACACATGAAAGAAGGCTCAGAATTTGCGTGCAAAGCTTCCCTGGCCAAGCTCGATTGGAGGTGAAGTGAAAGCGCAAAAAACCGCCCTCTCCACGGTGCGGGGCGGTTTGTGAAGAAGCGGGGACGCAGCATGCGGTGGAAGGTCGGGGGCTGACTTCAGCTGTGATGAAGTAGCCTCGGCCATGCACTCGCCCGTCCACGCTTTGCTCCTTTTGTGCGTGGATTCCAGCTGGTGCGCAGTCGGTGGCTTATGAGGCCGGGTCGGCAGGGAGGGAAGGAAATCAGATCTCAAGGCCTGTAGGTCTGCTGAGTTTTTAGAGTATGTCCAGAACAGTCGCTGCTAGCTTCACTTCAACAGAAGCCCGCATCCTTGGCGGAAGGAAGCTGTTGGAGATGAAGACCCTTGTGCGACGACCGGGCAGATGAACTTGTTGAGTTCAGTGTGCTTTGGGGGTCCAAAAACTTGACGTTTTCGGCCGGGAGTGCTTTTGTTCAATGCTTGAGTGACCTCGGAGCCAGAGCTTACGAGCTCTTCGCTTTCCTCGTGTGCATTGGATTAAGGGCTTTTGCCCAATCAGTGCCCTTCCTGGCTTCCTGGGGCGTGTCTGAGATCTGTCGAGATCTTGCGGCCGGTCTGTCGAGGGGCCGGCAGCGTGCACTGGGAAAACCTTTGAGGGTGCCAGAGCGATGACAGCGGTTCTGGTTTTGGGGAAGTCGAAGCAGAGTCTCTCTTCAGCGGCCTTCCAAGAAGGGGCCCCGTTCTGCCCTGTGAGATAAGCCTTGTATGAAGGCCCAGGGCCCTGCCATCTTTGCGTCGTCCCGGTTGGCGGACATCAGGCGCCCGAGCGAGACCTCGCTGACCGCGTCGATCTTTGGTTGATAGCTGTATTCTTAAATGTTTACGGCCGTTTAAGCTTGGGGGATGGACCTGAATTTGGTTTTGCAGGAGGCGCTCTTCGAATAATTCGCCGCTGTTGCCTGGGTGGCGTTTTAGCAGGATTTCCGTAGATGGAGCCCATATATTGCCATGTCGACACGGCCGGCTTAACAGTTCCATGTCTCACCTGCAGATACTTGCGTGGCCGAAGCTGTTGGTGCACAGCCCTCAAGCACCCATGGAGGCACTGCACGCACGACTCCTGCTTGCATTCTTGCTGCTCAGATAACCCAGATACCAACGAGGATGAAGAAGCCATCAGACGAGTTGGAGACCTGGCATGTGGGCACTCTGGCGACTGTGGGGACTCTGGGCCGTGCCCGAGTGCGCCTGCGCGCAGATGGACCGGCCGTCTTCTGGGGTCGCTGTGCCCGAGTGGCTGAGTCTGCTCACACCCCTTCAATCACTTCAATCACCTCCATCGATGTGCTGATTTCGTGTGATTCGCACCTCAGCATGGGTGCAAGGCTCAGCCCAGGTGCCTTGCAGAAGCCTGAGCCCTGCACCGGAGCGGAGCATCATTAGCGTTCCATTTTCCGCAGGCAACGAAAGCATAAGTTCAGGTTTGCAAATGTTTGCAATAGCTTCCCGCGGCACGTGCTTACCCCCACATGTTCGGCAAAAAGCTGTCGGGCAGCGGGCGCTCGTCAAGATTCAGATGCGGATGCTGCCCCAAGTGGCAGAAGGCGGTGCATGAGGATCGTTACGCTGACGAGCACGTGCTGGGTTGTCATCCCAGGGTGTGCAAGCGGGCGTGCAGCCTGTTCCCGAAGCCTGCGGGAGCTCCCGAGGTCGTCGCCTTGCTGAGCTAATGTTCGGCAAGTGGCTGCAACCGAAGGAAGTCGCTGCACTGGTGCCATACCTGCCAGAAAAGAAAGGACAACAAGGACAACAGAGGGGCAAATGTGCCCAGTTCCTAACTTTCTGAGTTGGGAATTACAGGGGCGAATGCTTGTAGGTGGCGAGGCGCAGCATGGACATTCGGACCTGTGTCTGACGAGTGAGTGCCGGTCTTGAGAGATGTCTTGGCCTTTTAACCTTTAGGCCTTTGTGCTTTGCGTGCTTCCGGGGTTTTTGTCCGGGTTGTTGATGTAGGGACGTGGATCTGGAGTGCCAGCAGCGCCCAGCGAGGAGCGCCACGAGAGTGTTTTTTCTGAGCGCAGCCAGTAGATCTACTTAAAGGTCCTAAAACTTCCAAACCCTGCGTATCAAACCCTGAACCCGAACCCTAAACCCTAAACCCTAAACCCCAAACCTTAAATTGCAGATGTTTCAGAATCCCGGCTCGCCGGGGATCCAGGGCTTCTTCGGGAAGGCGGAGATGGGTCCCCCGGCTTCGTGACTTTTGAGGCATGAACGCCGGCTGCGGCTTCAAGAAGCTGTTGCCTTCATCCAAGGTGGTTTGTGTTCAGTAGCCAGCGCTTGACAAGGATTCCTTGATTCGAAGAGGTAGATGAGAGAACCTCTTAAGGGAACACGTAGATTTTGGCTAGCATTGAAGTCCAGACCAGCCCGCAGCCGCGGCTGCAAAGGCGTCCGCAATTTCTTCCGAAGTCGACCCCAGAAGACCGAACCCCCTTTTATCCGCCAAAGGCCCCCCTAGGTCTCTCTACTCCGTAGTCCGCTTTGCCCCCGCCCCAAGGGATGCCCTGAGATGCCGGGTTGCCAGCACTCTGATGGCCTGTTGCGAACGCGGCTCGCGCCGCGAACTCCGGAGTTCACGGCCCCCTGTAAGGATCCCAAAGGCAGCTCCCAAGGTAGCCCGAAGCGGGAGATGGACGTTTCATGGTTTTGCAAGCCCCAGTGTGCCCGGTGTGCGCAGTGTGCGAGTGTGCGCCGGGCGTCGAGTACGTCTTCGATAGCGGCTCTGTCCGTCGCATCCACCCTCTCTCGATGGTGGGCGTTTGGCGCACGGTTGCAACGCAGGGCACGGCGGGGGCGGCTGGCCCAGTGATCGGAAGCCGACGCCTTTCCCTGTGCTCCGAAACTTCTGGGCCACGCTTAGTGCAGAAGCGCAGGGCTTCGCGGAGGGGACAGGTGTTAGTTCGATCCGCTGGGCTGTGGCGCGGGTTTGGGCATGTAGAGCATGTAGAGGCACGCAGCGCAGTGCTGGCTGTGGTGCATGTACGTCTCATGGGAGACCCTGCTGGGTGCCAGGCTGTGCGAGCAGTCCGAAGGCGGTGTCCTGGCATTTTGAATGGCCCGGGGCCTTGCATGCTCAATTTGCAAGTTCGTTGTCACGGCTGGCCAGCCGTCACTGTCATGCGAGGCCGCCGAGGGCTGGGTCTTGGGCATAGTCCCTGGCGGGTCGATCACTCGAGGAATGCATGTCCGTTCCGTCCCTCCTGTGGTTTGTGTGGCTCCAGTGCTCCTGGCAAGCAAAAGGAAGGTCCAGTGCTCCTGGCAAGCAAAAGGAAGGTGAGACGAGTCATAGCACCTTTGCGAATTCACCGGCGTCAGGGCGGCCTTGGACAACGCACTGCTCGTTCCCTCCATTCCCTCCGTTCTCTCCGTTCCCTCGATTCCCTCCATCGCGGTGGGAGGTCAGCGCCAGTTCACGCCGCTCAGAGGGGAGCTAGGAGGAGGTGGCTGCGACAGTTGACAGGTATGACATGTTACGACCCAGCCGTGTGGGGCCGTGCTGGACTCAAGGCCTGGAAAGCTCGGATCCCGGCTGGGGGGCTGAGATGCAGGAGATTCGGGAGGCTTCGGTGTCAGCTCCTAGACCGCCTTAAGGCGCCTTTGTGATGCCTCGCTGGTGCGGTTCATGCCGCGGCATTGCGCGGGGTTCGGCTTTAATCGGAATATGGCGGGGGAAGTTAGGGAAGAGGTCAGAATCTGATGAGCCTGCCTGCGGCCACTGTCAAGTTGTCAAGCCGCTGCACATGATTCATCATGATTCCATGCTTGGAACATCTTGGAACCCTCAGCATGCCGCACGACGAGTCCACGTGTTTTCCATATCGTGCATGCCGGTCTGTCTGAGGTCTGGACATGTGGATTCGAGAGCTTAACTTTGTTGCATGTGACCCGTAAAACAGACGGGCTAAGACAGCTAAGATGATACGGCAAATGCGAAGCCAGCAGATCCTCTCCAAGTTGCTTGCGACAAGCCAGGTGAGAGTCCGTGGGTCCGGTCTCTCGTATTCCGATGCATGCAGCGACTTGGATGATCGGCAGCTGGCGATGGTTCCCGGGGATTTCTGGGGACTGCTGGAGCCGCAGACTTGCTCTCACCATCACGCAAAAGCCAGAAGACATTCAGGTGTGCTCCATGCAACGACACCTCACTTGGCCGCCCTGGCACGCGCTGGTCCAAAGATGCGATGCCGCTGGGGCTGGTGGTGCTCAACCTGGCGTTACTTTCGTTTCGCCTGCCCTGAAAATTTTTCTCAAGTCTCGCAGCTTCAGGCCGTATCGCTCGGCGCAAGAGGTCGCTGACTGCGGGGTGACAAAGAGAGCAGGGACATCCTGCCTTTTCTTCCGGGGGGTCTGGGAGCTTTTCCAGGGCCTGGCCGGGATCTGTCAGAGCGACACGCCGCAGGCAACGGGAGCCTGGAGATTCGTGGCAGCGCTCGGTGAAAGGTTCAGAGGTTCAAAGGGCTGGTCTAGATCAAAAGTCAGGGTGGCAGGTCCTTCCTGCTTTACTATACCCGTGGCCCAACCCTATACGCCCTCCACGAACCAGGCCCTACACTAACCACTCCTGCTGTGCATCACAGGCCACAGCCTCGAAACGCCATCGGTCAAAGCCAGCACCGATTCGCAGCTGTATGGCCAAGGGAGGACCCACACCAAAGGCCCCAAAGGTCCTCGTGAACCTTCGGAGCTATCTCCGCTGCGCGCTGCTGTGGAGTAGAAAAGGGAGAGCGGAGGAAGCGAGGAAGTTAGGGGGAGTGTGTCTGGTAGTGATTTGAGTGAGTATCAGCATACGTCGGCAGTTGCTCATCGCGAGTATGTTCAAACTATGCTTAATTGTAAACGCTTGCGCGCGCCGCCTCGGCAGCCGGGCCGGCCCCAGGACAGGAAAGGAGGAAAGAGGGTTTTGCAAAAAAGGGGGAGGAAGGGCAGAGGGGTCAAAGGGGGGGGTGTGGGGGGGGTGGGAGGGGGTGGGGGGGGGGGTGGGGGTGGGGGGGGTTGGGGTTTTTTGAGGCACTCCCCCTGTAGGAGCCACCGACAGGCGGGACCCTCCACGGCATCGGTTTGCAGCTCCTCCAAGGGATTGGGGGGGGTCCCACAGGGCGGGGGGGGGGGGGGGGGCGTCAAAAAATGTGCATGGGGGGGAAGGGTTGGGTTAGGGGGAAGGAGGCCCGATCCGGGTCTGCTTGTTCCAGACGCTTCTCGGCAGGAAGCCGAGGCGAATTGCAACATATTACCGGAAGTCGGACGAGTTGGTCTGTAGCAGACGGCCAGCAGTGGCCAACCCAACAACCAGGGAGCGTTTCTCTGTTCCACCTTTGCAAAGGAACTTTGTTTTATACGACATGGCTAGATGACAACCGCACAACCGCACAACCCACATACTGTCGTGAGACCCCCCTACCCCTGGCAGAACGTCGCCGAGACACTCAGGCCATGTGAGCGTGCTCACAAGAAGAAGACACCCCTTTGTTTCCCAGTCTACCCATTGCTGCAATTTTCTGCCCTTGTGGCCTCCCGATGTTTAAGTATACATGTCCGGGAGCACAAGAGAGGAATCCAGGTCGGGGCTCAAGACAGAATCTCCGACTGGTAGCGGCTGGTAGTCGACGCGCTCTTCGAAGCCATGGCTCCTGCCTTCGCGATTTCGATGTTCGGTATCCTTGCCACTGCTGCCGGTCAGGGATTGGGCGCCTCTCCACTGACCCTGCCTGCCTTGGCTCCTCTGCCGCATGCGCTGAACACCTCGGGATCCTTGAGTCAAGCCAGCACATGGCGAGATGGGCTGGAGAGGAGCAGAAGATCGATCGCCTGCATGGAGATCGGGCTCTTGGCGGTGCCTGTGGCGGGGACGGGGATGGAAAGGTTCGCACCCACTGGTTCAAGTTGCAGTTGCCGCACAGCGGCCAGCTATTTGTCCTGCATCAACAGTTCCGTGACAAAGGCGAAGCTGCAAGCCTTATGCGACACAGTGCGGGCAGGATGTGAATCTTTGCTCCTGGATTGTGCAACGCAGACATGTACGGATCACCAGGAAGACACAGCAGCGGTTCTCTCCAAACCAACGTCCTTGACAGGCATTCTGCTCGTCGTGGGTGTGTGTTTAAGTTGGCTGTTGTTCCATCACATTCAGAGGAACTGCCAGGACCGGGAGACATGTTCGGCATGTTTCCGGATCATGGATTTTGCTGACCGTCACAACCTCCTCGTCTTCATGGGTCGTGCTGGCATTCAGCTGATCGTCTTCACGTTCCTGTACAACAACGGCAGCATCCAGAGCCTCCTAGTTCTTGCCTACATCTTCTGTTGCCTAGGCACAGGCTTGCGACTGGTCTGGATTCATGCCGGCCGAGTGCTCTGCCAGACGGGCGAGTATCCCACGACCTTGACCCCCGAGAATGTGTACCAGAATGTGCGGGATCCGAGCAACAAGTTCTTCGTTATGTTTGCAATCCAGTTTGGGCTGTACGTACTTTTCAATCACGGGATCGTCGCTGCCAGTGGCGTTGAGCCAGCATTTAAGAAAGCCTTGTGGTCCGACCCATCTTCAGCGGACCTTTTCAACGAGCACTATGCGCAGCTGATCGCATATTTCGTTTTCGCAAGCCTCGCGTCGATTGTGTACCAGCCTTTCGTGCACTCCTTCATCAAGGACGAGCTGGATTTCTGGTACCGGCTGAGGGAGAGTCATGGCGACCATGAAGCCTTTAGGTAACGTTGTGCATGCCTGTGCAGCCTGATCATCAATGAGGTTTGCCAGAAGGTGATCTTCATGACGTTCCCGGTACTGCTGGCCGTATCTAAGACCCCGATCGACTTCATCAAAGATCTCCTGGCTTTCACCTTCATCACAACACTGGACGACCTTTCCGCCCCAAAGCATTGCTTGGAGATCCACTTGACTGGGAGCAATGGAGGCGGAAGCCTCGGAAGCCCTGGCTGCTTCTGGCGGAGGTTGCGCGCGCTCCGGGCACAAGTCGTGGGGAAGTCGGCCATCCCAAACGACGAAGAGAGTGGGTGAACGCTCGGGCGCCGCTAAAGTCGGCCCTGTGAGTGACTGTGAGTGTAAGCATTTTGTGCATTTTTGTGCGCTTTTTATACGTGTGGTTGTCCACGATTGACTGTACAGGACGGTGGGCCTGAAGATGTAAAGTCTGTAAAGTGTAGAATCCCAGGTTCAGCAGCACTCTTGTTGTATGAATGGTCCAAGTACAAGACGTGCAGGGGAAAACAGCGGGCCGCGGCATCTAGTGTTCGTCGATTGTGACTCGTGGTTGGACCGGTCACATCTCTGCCGAGCAGCCTGAGTCTGATGAACTGACATTAATATGAACCATGGCCACACCACAGCAGCACCATGTAGGACTCTTGCTAAATCATTCAAAACAGCACGATTGATAATTTTTCTTTCATTCTTAACGCTAGACCGAAAGTGCTATCATAGGCAGTCAGGCTACAATGCAGCGCAAGCTTTGTCATTGCCACGTAAAGAATTGAGCTTGACAGGCTAAATCCTAAAATCCCAAACCCCCAGAGAGATCTTTGTAGAAGGGCCTCTCTGCGGCTGCGTTGTTCCATCGGCATGCTTTGAAAGTGCTACTAGACGTCCGCGACAAGTCTGCCAACTTTGCCTGACATGTTCGGTTAGGCCTTTGAACCATGCGAACCACGTCAGTACCAGCTGTTTGTCTTGAAATGGTCGGTACTTGTAGTGCTGCGCGACTTGTGCAGTCTTCAGCATGAAGGCCTGGTGTGACCTGATGGACCAAGGTTTCTGGAGCGCCTTGCCTCTTCTGTAGCCGTCTCGGATGAGAGCCAGTGTTGTCTGATTAAGCCACATGTGAGTGTGTTCAAAGCTGCTCGTGCCATGCGGGCGCTGTTTGTGGCAGTTTTTCTTGTCTCGAGGCACGGCTGGTGTGTCAACATGCTCTACGCCATCGGGATAGTTGAGTCATTTGAGTAAGAACAGTAGTAATAGTACAATAATTCAAAGAAGTGATAAGTCCCTGAAGGCAGTTGGTGGTGGCTGTCCGGCCTCCGCCGGAGGTTGCCAGCCGCAGGAGCTTCACCAATCTCGTCAAGGAAACTGACGCGTGGGCAGCGCGGATCAGCAGCGCCACCGAGAACAAGACGCGCTGCGAGGAAATCGTGAGTGAGCTCACGGCAGAGAGGGCCGTGCCCAAGAAGAGGCTGGACATACACACCGGCGTGATATTTCCGCACGATACCTTCAATGAGAAGTGGAGGGATCCGGAGCGGAAGCTCCGGCTGACTCCCCTGTCCTTCCTGGCCACCCAGAACCTGGGCTCCCTGAAGCTGCGATTTTGGACGACCCTCGAGCCCAGCCATCCGCTGATGGAAGAGATCTTCGGCCCCATCCTAAGGATTCCGGCCTTGGCCAGAAGCATTCAAGTCAGCAAGTTCGACATGGACCGGGAGGCCGCGAAGGCCTTTCCCAACCAAAACAACCTGAGCAAGGCCTTGCTGGATGCGTACCGCAGCCACGTAGACCCGGGGTCGATGTCCGACCTGATGCGTGCAGTCATCTTGAACAACTACGGAGGTGCCTGGGTTGACAGCGATGTCCTGCTCATCAGGGACATGGCGCCCATCATGGCGGAGGACTGGGCGTACTTCGGCAAGCCAGACTTCGTGAATGGTGCGGTGATGTCCACCTCCCGGCCACGGTCCCCCTTCATGCAGAACTACTTGCTGGCAGTTGTAGGGCATGGGATACCCATGTTCCATGAGCGCTACTACCAGTTCGGCCCTCGAATCTTAACAGCCCTCAAGAAAAATGCCGAGGAAGCCCACAACACAGGCTTTTTCCATGTGCTGCCCCCATGCTTCTTTGACCCCCACTTCCAGCATACTGGCAGGCCTCCCCCGGCTGAGATTTTCTTCGCTGAGGTGGCATCCGGTTCAGACATAGCGTCCAAGAGGCCTGGCAGTACCAGCCACGCGGCATTTGCCTACCACTGGCACAACGGTTGGGAGTTTCCGATTCGGCCGGGTTCCCTGGCAGACGAACTGGAGCAGATCTACCGCAGTCTGCTGAGCATGTAGACCGGGCCAGTCACGCGTGTAGGCAGAGCAGACACGGAACTCGTTACGCTGCAGGCCGAAGGCAAACAAGCAAGTCACGGGGTGCCGGCAGCGCTGCTCACACAGTTGTGTGGATTCACAAAGCCCCATGCATATCTACATCGTTTAATTGCCCCCCACAAGGGCTGTCCAAGAGCTTGTTGTGTGCCGAAATTGGGTTTATGGTCCTGGACTGTTGCTTTTTGCTCCCGGGCATGTCTTTCTTCTGCTTTGGCCTTCATCAATGCATGGTCGCAGTGGGGATGGTTAGGCCTGAGATGCAGACAGCGATTGCGGTCACGGCTATTTGAGCTCGCAAGCGTAACTTGAGCAAGGAGGCCTCGTCCTAGCTAGAAGGAGAGGTGACGTGAAAAGACGACGGACAAGTGTGAGTGTTCCGTTCCAGCTCGGACCACGAGTTGCAAAAAAGACGTAAAACCGCTGATGCAAGGCCAGTTGCGTGGCTAATTGTTCGGCTTAGGAGTGTTGTTGTGGTGATGATGAGGATGACGATGATGACGATGATGGAAGGGAATCCCAGGTTGTAATCACTGTAATCAGGCTGCTCATGAGTTGTGACATGTTCCGGCGCACGTTGTGCTCCATGTGCTCGGTGGAAGAATGCATGAATGCAGGCTTCCAGGCACATTGTGTTGCGGACATTTCAGTGTGACGGTGCTGCTCAACAGGCTTGCATGTGCATGTCGCCCACGACGGCCAAGAAGTTAATCTGCCAACTGCAGAACCCTCAAATGTACACGAACTAGCTGGCATCAGGAAGCGGATAGGCCTAGCAACGGCGCGCAAACTTCGTCTGAGAAGCAGTGGCCTCCCGAGTCATGTTTCGTGTGAGCCAGCATTCCTTGTCACACCTAAGAGGCCTCCAAGGTAACGTGGGCAACGCGGGGTCGGTGCCATGCGGCCTTCCCAGTGGTCAGTTCTGGTTTTTGGGGACCGCCCAGTATGATGTGTTTAGGGTTCAGGGTTTAGGATTTAGGGTTTGGTGTTTTGGCATGTTCACTTTGTTGAGATTTCTTTGGCTTTCAGAATGTGTTGCAGGACTCTTGGGCGGACTACATGCATCCGACCTGGCCGCAGGCCGGTTCGAACCTGCACACTTGGGGTTTAGGGTTTATGCCCGCTGGAAGTATTGCGGTGGTGACGATGCAACTATTGTCTTTGTAGCCGCAGTATGCAGCAGTGGTTTTGGGAAGTATGTTCATCGTCGCCAACGCCAACTACAAAAGTGAGGTCCTTGCGAGGCTTCGCTCACTTCGGCTTCCCACTGATGCAGTAGTATAGCTTGTTGATGCTGCACCTAATCCTCGGAGAGAGATCTGTTGCTTGTTATGGCTGATGTCCATGCAGGTCCTGGGACGCAGACTGGGTGCACGTGTGATTAACTTCGCGCAAGCAGGCCGGTTTCTTGCAGTTGTCTGGTATGTGACACATGCTTGATCGTGCATTGTTCAATGGTTCAAAGCGGCGCCAAGCGGCTGCTGGCTGCATGTGCAGGAGAAAAGCTGCCGAAAACGGGGCGGGGGGGGGGGGGGGCCCTAAAACCCTCAACCCCAAAACCCCGAAACCCCTAAACCCTATACCCTAAACCCTAAAACCCTTAAACCCTTGCAGCTCCTTCCTCCCGGCATGCGAGGCTCGATGTGCGCGGACATCCGAAGTCAGGCGCAGCGAGCCCTCATCAGCCCGGAGGTCGGGGCTGACGTGTTCGGCGTGTTGTCTAGGGCCCAGGGGCCAGGTTTTTTTCCTTATGCAGAAGATGCTATATCATGATGCTCTGCTCCATTGTACTGTTATATTATGTTATGTAGCTAGTTTAGTTATATGATTACATATGAGTATTCTACTGTACTATTGTGTTTCTGTTGCTAGGGTTTTGGTGTTGTAAAAGGGGTCCGGCCAGGTCCCCAAGGCTGTGGGCGGCTTGCTCCAAAGTGAGACCTTGGTGGTCATCCACACGTCCGGAACTTTGGACTGGGGGACGCGTCCCCTCCCTGCTTAGGGGCCCCCCCTCCCCCTATGGGGTTTAGGGTTTAGGGTTATGGGGTTTGGGGTTTAGGGTTTAGGGTTTGGGGTGCAGGGTCTTCTAGATGGTTTTAAGATCAGCTGAGCACTACTCAGGTGCGGGAATGACTTCATCATGAAGATGGCAGAGGCCAGAGCAAGATCGGGTGACCCCACATTAGTGTAGCTGCTAAGCCTGTCTCTGGGGCCGGGTGTTAATGTGCCGTTAAACATGACTTTCCCTAAGCCCTAAACCCTAAACCCTAAACCCTAGACCCTAAACCCCAAACCCCAAACCCTAAACCCCAACGCTTGAGAGGGAGGACTGTAGGCTGGGTTTCTGCTGCAAGGCCTTCATGGGCGGCGGGCTTGGTGGCTTGTTTGGTGGAGGAGGCCGGGGCACCATAGTGCCACTAAGATGCACCGGTTTAGGGTTTAGGGTTTAGGGTTTAGGGTTGATGGTGCATCTAAAGGGGCATTCGTGCCGCGACATGGGAAGAGACCTGAAGCCTAAGCCAGCTAGCTGAATGAGCCCAACGTAATTCAAAGATGCCCTCATTCAACCTTTGTTGAGTCCTCGGGCGACCCTCTTGAAACCCTTCCCCCATGAACCCCTGAAACTTTCTTAACGGCCTGAGCCGATAAATCCCAAAACCCCAAATTCTGAACCCTACACCCCCTTCAAAACCTCTTAAAACTCTTAAAGCCCCCTGACACCCCCCAAAAAACACGGCCAGAATCCCACAAAGCCCCACTGAAACGAAGAACCCTACTCTCTAAACCCTAACCCCTAAACCCTAAACCCTAAACCCTAAACCCATGCCCTAAGCCCTAAGCCCTAAGCCCTAAGCCCTAAGCCCTAAGCCCTAAGCCCTAAGCCCTAAACCCTAAACCCTAAACCCTAAACCCTAAACCCTAAACCCTAAACCCTAAACCCTAGGAGGTGCCTCCCTGGCGACCCCTGAGATGCTGCAGCCGAACCCGGGCGTGCGCGAAGCGGCGGTCCGGGGACCTGGGAGCGCCAGGGCACGTAGGGTTTAGGGTTTAGGGTTTAGGGTTTAGGGTTTAGGGTTTGGAGGTGGGAGGTATGGGCATTAGGGTTTGGGTTTGGGGGGTTGAGGGTTTGGTTTTGGGGTCTAGGGTTTAGGGTTCAGGGTTTGGGGTTTAGTTCGGTAACAGTTAGGGTTTGCGTCTACGGTTTGGGGGGTTGAGGGTTTGGTTTTGGGGTTTGGGGTTTGGGTTTGGGGTGTGGGGCTTGGGGTTCGGGGTTTGGGGTTTTGGTTTGCAGCTAATATGGATTTTGAATTGAGGTAGCTGGTGGAAAGGGGTTTAAGGGCTCAGGGTTTGCGGTTTCGGGTTTAGAACTAGAAGAGGGGACTCGGGTTGAAAGGATTTGGGGGCTGAGCATGTTTGGGATCGAAGGTTCGGAGGGGAGTATTTTCCCATAGTTTAGTCTAGTTATCCCATATAAATAGAACGGAATCCCTGAAAAAGGGTGCCCCTCTTTGCAGAAACCCCCCCCATCTTGCGTCGTCACTGATGTGCCAGTTCATGAAAGAATTCCTCGAGTCCATGCACCGCGTCGCAGCCTCAAGAGTTGTGAAGCTCGCTTGTGTGTCTTAGGGTTATCAGGGGCAACAGGGCTAGTCAGGGTTTAGGGTTTAGGGCAGTTTAGGGTTTATGGTTTAGGGTTTAGGGTTCTTCAGGTGAGTTCCTTAAATTCTGGACGACCTACTCTCATGCGCTTCTTGATATTTAGGGTACTCAAAAAGTCTCATACATTCGGTCAGCTCTCCACAAAGGATTCCTTGGCCCGAACCCCAAGAAACCCCAGAAACCCCTGCAAACCCAGGCCTCTCAACTATATAAGCCCTCTAAACCCTATAAACCCTATAAGCCCTATAAGCCCTCTAAACTCTCTAAACCTATACCCCCTATAAGCCCTACAAACCCTTTTAACCCGAAAATCCCGATCGGTATTGTTGAGTCATCTTGCCTCCCACCTGTCCCCCCGCGAAGTTTCGGAAGCACTTCAGGCTGGGGCCAGGCACTTCCTGGTCTCGGGTGCCAGGTCCTGAGGAGCGCTCTCTCTCTCTCTCACTCATTCGCTCTCTCATTCGCTCTCTCATTCGCTCTCTGTCTCTCGCTCTCTCTCTCTCTCTCGCTCTCTCGTTCGCTCTCTCTCTCTCTCCCTCTCGCGCCCTTTCTCTCTCTCTCTCTCTCGTATAAGCAAGTTCCACGCACGAAACCCCTAAGACCGAAATCCGAGGTAAGCCCAAAGAGCCCTGAGCCGGAACACGAAATCCGACGTTTGGAGCCCCTAAGCCCAAACCCCGAATCAAATCCACCCAGCGGCCTGAGTAAAGGTGCCGATTTTCCTGGACATGCCGGTTTTCAACATGGCGCTGCACAGCTTGCCTGGTTGAGGGTCGTAGCGTTTAGGGTTTAGGGTTAGGGTTAGGGGTGGTCTAGCCTGGGGGTGTTTGAGCGACAGCTTAGCAGGGGTTCACTGAAAGGTTGTGGTCTCGGGATTTTTTCGGGTGTTCGTTAATTCTTCTTTTAAGTGTTCTCTTGCTATTGCTCGTCTTATTGTTATTGTTATTATTGCAATGAATGTCTATTCATTGTTCAGAGTATTACTAGAAGTAGAAATACTATTCGTTCACTGTGTTTTTTGTTTCTCGCTTTCTCTCTCTCTCTCTCTCTCTTCTCTCTCCCTCTCTCTCTTGTGTTTGTTTTCTTGTTTTTTTTTTTTGGGGGGGGGGGGGGGTCTAGGATGTGGTCCTCCAGATTTTTTGGGATTAGGTCCTTCGGTTCTTTGGGCTTTGTTAGGGCTCAGGGTTGGGAAGTTGAGGGGGTAAACCCTAAGCCCTAAGCCCTAAGCCCTAAGCCCTAAACCCTAAACCCTAAACCCTAAACCCTAAACCCTAAGCCCTAAACCCTAAACCCTGAACCCTAAACCCAAAACCCCTTGTGATGCTTGGCTTCCTCGGCGCGCCAGGCCGATCATCACGGGGATGGTGAACTCCGGGCGCTTGGAGGTGCTGCCTTAGGGTTTAGGGTTTAGGGTTTTGGGTTTTAGGGTTTAGGGTTTAGGGTTAAGAGCTGCTTAGGGGCTTCATGCTTTTCGGGACCAGCAGAGATCCTGAAACCCACCATGAAGTTCCTAAACCTCTGCGGGCCTCAGAAAGTCACTTCAGCCCCTTTGCTGCAAACCCAAAACCCTAAACCCGCCCGCCACACCTCCCACCTGTGTTGGGGTAGGCGGGCGCAGTCGAGCGCTCAGCGAGACCGCGGCAGGCTCTGCTAGGCTGCCAGGCACACCCCTGAGGAGAGTCGCCTGGCTGGAGTCGCCTAGCTCGTCTCAGCTCTATTTTTTTACCCTAAATTCCAGGAAGGGGCTCCTTCCCCTTTTTTACTGGTTCGTGGACGCCCCTCCCTGGAGGCCCCTTAAGGCCCTTGGAAGCCCCTGGAGGGGTCCTGGAGGCTCCTGAAAGCCCCTGAAGCCCCTGGAAGGCCCCTGAAGCCCGTTGCGGATGCAGTAGCCTTGGAGGTTCCCGGCAGCCCCTGGAGGCCCCTCTGCAGGCCCCTGGAAGCCCCTGCAACCCCTCCTGAAACCTCTGGCCCCAGGCCCCTTGGAGGCTCCTGGAGGCCTCTGGAGGCCCCGGGGGGCCCCCCACCCCTCGACAGCTGCTTCCCCTTTAAAGTTCCGCCTTTCCAGGCGGCCCCTTCTGCCCCTGACCCCCTGGGCCCTGGCTCTGGGCAGTTCTGGGCTCCTCCCAGACAGTTTCTGAGCCTTTTTGCGCTCCTTCGACAGTTTCTGAGCCTTTCTTGGGCTCATCATCCCGGACAGTTTCTGAGCCTTTTGGGCCCCTTCCGGACAGTTCAGAGCCTTGTCGGGCTCCTCCCGGACAGAAACTGAAAGGCTCCTCCCGGACAGTTTCTGCGCCTTTTTGAGCTCTTTCCGGACAGTTTCTGAGCATTTCTTGGGCTCATCCCGGGACAGTTTCAGACCTTGTTGGGCTCCTCCCGGACAGTTTCTGAAAAAGTTTCTGAGCCTTTTAGTTTCGGGGCTCCTTCCGGACAGTTTCTGAGCTCTTCCCGGATAGTTTCTGAGGTTCTCCTGGACATTTTCTTCGACAGCTCCTTTTGGACAGTTTCTGAGCTTGTTGGGGTCCTCCCGGACAGTTTCTGGGCATTTCTGGGCGCTTTCCGGACAGTTTCTGAACCTTTTTGGACTCCTCCCGGACAGTTCTGAGCCTTTTTTGGGTTTTTGGGCTGCCTCGGACAGTTCCTGAGCTTCTTCCCAGTAAGCAGGGGGGCCTTAAACCCTTCCAGGACTCTTCACGCCCTGGAATTTTCTGTGAGAGGGCCCTTCGGCCCAGACAGTCCCCTGCGCAAAACCTGAGGGGAGGCTCCTTTGCCGTCAAGGGACATGCTTGGCACCCCCTCAAAGTCGCATATGTCCCAGGCTCGACATGCTGCCTTCTGGCCCCAGATGACCTCCGATTTCCTAGTGTCCCAATCAGCCACTGTCCCCAAGTGACCCCCCAAGAAATCGCCAACAGCTCGCCTCAAGTTCGGCAAGAGTTCACGACTCGCAAATGTCCCAAGCATTCGCAGTGTTCTATCTTAGTGTGCTTTGAACATGTTCGATATGTGAAATTTGAATGGCTGGCTTGGCTTCGGCTGGCTCCGGTTTGGTTTCGTGATGAGTATTGTTTGGGTGGCCTCGGGGTGGGCATGTCTTCACACTTTTGCGTTCAGCTGACCAATGCTACACCCTAAACCCTAAACCCTAAACCCTAAACCCTAAACCCTAAACCCTGGACCCTGAACCCTGAACCCTGAACCCTGAACCCTGAACCCTGAACCTGAACCCTGAACCCTGAACCCTGAACCCTGAACCTGAACCCTGAACCCTAAACCTGAACCCTGAACCCTAAACCCTAAACCCTAAACCCCCCCTCATGAAGGCTCTGGGTGTGAGCCCCGGCGACCCGCCACGGCTAGCTGTGGAGGTGCAGGCAGCAGGGCTATGTACGGGAGGTCTCTGAATTTAAAGGGGCCTCGTACCCCAAGGCCTTAAAGAAATCCTAAACCCTAAACCCTAACCCTAAACCCAAACCCCAAACCCTAAACCCTAAACCCTAAACCCTAAACCCTAAACCCTAAACCCTAAACCCTAAACCCTAAACCCCTAAACCCCTAAACCCCTAAACCCCTAAACCCCTAAACCCTAAACCCTAAACCCTAAACCCTTAACAGGCCTCGGCCTTGCACGAGCGCTGGGAGGAGCTGGTCCAGGACGTCCGAAGGTTTGGGGGAGCGTGGGCATGGGCTGGCGTGCGGAGGCCTTCAACAAGGGCCACCCCGACAGCAAGTGCATCTTCTTCGACGAGGTGAGGTGGTGGGGATGAAGCTCCCGACCTGACACCTTCAAGAGGACATGAACATCAACCGAAGTCGTACGTGTGCATTCGGAACGCATGCCCCTCCCTCCCCTTCCCCCCCCCACCCACGCTTTAAGTAAATATAGTAAATGAACCATCTCTGTTCTTGGTCCTATTGGCTTTTGCCTTCATCGCCGTCCTGGCAAGCCAGTAATGTCGCGTGTTTTGATGAGACACCAAGGGGGCTCTGAAGGCCACGGGCGCAAAAGGCAACAAGGCCGCTCACTTCCCACAAAGTTGCCCAACAAGGCCACAACAAGACACTATAAAAAGGCACCGACAATTCAAAACGGCCTCCCAAAAGCCCATATTGAACTGGCGGGAAAAGCCGCTGCTTTCCGCAAGAAGCTGCCCAACAACCCGGTTAGAACTCTCGACGAAAACCCGATACATCACGATACACTTTCGATAAACCCCTGAACCCTAGCCCCTAAACCCTAAACCCTAAACCCTAAACCCTAAACCCTAAACCCTAAACCCTAAACCCGATACAATTTCGGAGGTTGCTGCGCTGGAGCGGCTCCGGCTATCCTTCGGAGAGGTCTTTGACCGTTCCATGTGGGACTTCAGCATGTGCCGCGCCTGTAATGGGTGGTTTCGGGTTTAAGCTTTGGGTGTTTGGGAGCCTTCAACCCTCAACCCTCAAACCTCAGCCCTCAATCCTCAAGCCTCAAACCTCAACCTCCAAACCCTCAAACCTCAACCCTCAAACCTCAACCCTCAAACCTCAAACCTCACACCTCAAACCTCAAACCTCAAACCTCAGCCCTCAAACCTCAAACCTCAGCCCTCCCTCAACCCACTTAGGGTTCAGGGAGGAGAAACGCAAGTGGGTAGTTCCCTACATTAAGGTCCCTTTTTGGGGTCTTGAGTTTTCGGGTGACGCCTTATAATGGGGTACCCAAAAGAGACCCCCAATTGAGATAATTGCCCAGCGGAACGCCGAGGTTCCATCCTACTGCTTGGGGCCACGAGCAGCTGGCTGTGGAGGCACGGTCTTTACCCTCCTTGGGAACCTTTGTTGCCTTGAAACCCTAAACCCTAAACCCTATACCCCTAAAGGCTAGATCCTAAACGCTAAACCCTAAACCCTGAACCCTAACCCTAAATCCGAAGCCCTACTCCCTAAACCTTATAGTGAGCCTGAGTCACCTTAGCAAGCCTTAGCTGCCCCGAAGGCGCAGCGGGTGGCCACGGAGCAGATTCCCGGCCTGTCGGCGCTAGGCTTAGTTGGGGTCTGGCGAGGCGCCGCATCGAGTCAAGTTATGTTGTCATGTCCCGCAGCGCACCAGAGCAAGGGAACGCCTGCGCAGCCTGCGGCGAAGGCCCCTCGCTGAGATTGTGTGGGAATGCGATTGATTGCGCACCTGCCCAGCGCATCTTGGCCAGCTTGGCGCCGAGGCCTCCAGCGAAGCCAAGCCCAATGGCTACACGACCGCGGCGAGCGCGGCAGGCCCGGCGCCAGCCAACGGAGGCGCCTCGGAAGAGCGCCCGGTGCGTTCAGCGTGTTTCAGCGTCACCACATGCTACACCCTCCATTGATCTTCCGTGCTTCCAATTCGGGGCTTTGGACATGTATGTGCATCAGCTGACTGCTCGGACGCGTTCTTCCGCAGAACTCTCGCCTTCCCTAGGTGCCGCAGCGCCCACTGCCACAGCGTCGCAGGTCTGAGTCCCACGTTTGGGTTCCCATTCTGAGCAATGGTGGGAGCTGCTTCTCTGGATGCCTCGCAATGCGCATGTCCTTGGTTCTGGTGACCGAACCAGGGGAAGCAGATCAAGGTGCAAGTTCGGAACGCGGAGTGCTCAGCCTTCAGAGGTTTTTTTTTCGGAGTTCTGAAGCTCTCATTTCTGTTTCTCGCATTCTGGCCCAGCCCTAAATCCCTGAAACCCTAAGCCTTTCCTGCTGCAAGGTGAAGGGCGACGTGTCCTTCGAAGTTCCTTGTGACAGTTCCTGGAACACAGCCCGCTTCAGGGAAGAGGCAGGCTCAGGAACAGCTGGGGGTTGTTAATGGCTAGTTGTAAAGATCATATGAGACATGAGAAGATGTACCAGAAAGGACCCTGATGTAGAACGACACCCAGCTTTAGCCAAGACGAATCAGTGCTTGGTGCCGGTTTCCTGTTTTTCTGTGTGTGGTGTAGCAAGTTGATTGAGTGCAGTGGCCGGGCTCAAGCAGCTACGTCCAGCGCACAACTTTCCCCAGTCGGAGCTACCCTGTCAGCCCCAACTGTAATGCTTGTCCAGTTTGGGTAGACTGCAAGCTTGCAAAGTAAGCTTAGGGTATCAAAGCCTGGCATCTTAAGCCTAAGCCTTTCTCACCTTTTTGCCATGCGTGGTGTGGCTGAGGTGGCGACGGGGCTTGTGTGGTATCGCTTAGAATGAGACCCTTTGTCACATTTCTAGGTGGTTAGATGGTTAGATGCCTTGTCGAACCCAAAGTGGTCAAACGCAGAGAGCATTCTTCGGGGAGCCCTGCAGTGTTCACAGGTGCAAGGCTTGGCTGAGAGCCTACCCCTGCCAGCGCGGTCCGGTGGGCGCCACCCTCTGCTGTTTCAGGAGGGGAGGCTTGGTGTTTTGTGCTTTGCATGTCTCGGCCATCGGAAGAGCAAAATCAGAACCGAAACGCTGGCGCCGTGACACTGCTGTCCTAAGCCGGAATCCGAAACCCTAAGCCCAAAACCCTAAACCCTAAACCGTAAAACTTGGGAAGGCGGGGAATCACTGAAGGCTCCTCAACTCGTACACTACATGTCTCCCCTAGAGCCGAGTGCAACCTCTCCTCCTGCCAGGCCTAGGTCCTTCTTGGTTTATTTTAATGGCTGAAAACCCTCGGGTGCCAAGTAGTGGCAGGGTGATTTCAAGAGTTTCGCAGGACGTTGATGGTGTGCTCAATGCTTACATCACCGGCACGCCCGAGCTCGATCCGCGCCTTCTTCACAACTTGAAGCGGACGTTGTCACAGACGGATGCCGCATCTCAGCCGCTTCAGAGCAGGGGGCGTGGCATGCAAGAAGCATATGCAAGCACATGCAAGCAGTACATGCACGTGTGTATCACAGTTAGAAGTTAGGACCTGGTTCTCTCCACCCAGTGGCGCAAGTACCCTCAGCATCGGCAGCGCTTGCGTGAAGCCCTAGAGAAGTACCTTGGTCGCAGAGGAGCTGTGCGCGTCTTGCTTTTGCAGTGTGTGAGTGTGATGCCCAGTGGGCCCTTGTGGGATCCAAAGAGAGGTCTGGCATTCCGGCGGACCGGATCGTCGGAGACTCAGACTTCGGGTCACTGGACATGATGGACCTGTCTTGCGGTTTCCAAGCCATACCGCTGCGTTTGCTCGAGAGAACCTTCCGTTTTCTTTAGGACAACAAGACTGAGAAGTTGAGGAGTTGAGAGGGGCGCGCTTGGGAGAAATGGCTCAAGGTCCCGGGAGCACCGCCAAGAGCTCCAAGGCCAAGGCCCTCATACTGGTGCTGCTTTTGTTCCCAGGGGTGCCCTGCATTCTGCTGCATGGGAAGAGGGTGGCGATCTTTCGCGGGAGCGTTGGGCGCTTGAGGGGGCGTGCTTGGGGGGACCTCTGCAACGAGCCTTGCGAAGTTCTGGACTTCCAGGCCCCCGAGCAGATGTGGCGCCTGCGCCTTCGGGGCTCCAAGAGGCATGGAGAGGTCGTGCTGGCCGATGAACAAACTGGTGCATCCGCCTCCAAAGACCCCGATGCTTCCGATTCTTCCGGCTTCTTGGTCGACTACTGCCTGCTGCCAGCCGCGATTCATGCAAGCAATTTGAATTCATATGCTCGACCGACCACCACGGCTATGGCAGGGAAGGCCCTGGAGGCCACCACGGACGTCCCACGAGGTGCGACGATACTCCAGGAGCTACCTTTCATGGTGGCCTGTGACAGAAGTGATTTGTTGGGGTCCCGCGCGCGTGCTTTCCTACACATGCTGGAAGAGGCCCAAGCCGGGGGGGAAGATGCCGGTAGTCTGCGTCAAGCCTTCGAAGAGCTCACCACAGGTGGATTGGAGGAGAAGTGCATGCAAGATGCGACGCCTCTGTCAGTGCTCCTGTCAGCCACCGGCTGTGACTCCCGCACGGCAGCGCAGAGGATGGCAGCGGCACTGGCACGATGGCAGTGCAACTGTCAGCGCCTGTCTGTGCCGCCTGCATCAGGTCTGTACCGACTGCACTCTGGGCTGCAGCATTCATGCGCCCCCAACTGCGCCGTCGGGGTCTTGTTTTCCACGGGGGAGGTCCTGGTTCGAGCGCTCCGGGACATTCGCCAGGGTGAGCTTCTCACCCGAAATTATGAGCAAGAAACTTTCCTAGACCTTCCGCTTCCGGAGCGACAGCAGCACTTGCTTCAGACACGGGGCTTCCGCTGCCTCTGCCAGCGGTGCGCGACAGAAGGTGGCAGCAAGACGTCGGAGTATGGCGGCAGGATGATGAAACAAGTCCTGCTCTTGCATGACGGCCTTTTTCGTGCTGCCATGTGTCGTGTGCTTGGCTCTGCGCTTCGCTCGTGCAGCTGTTTGCTAGCACACAAGTGTTTCTGAGAGAGACCACGCTGCCCAGAATGCCCCGCTAACACCTTCGTTGTCAAGGGTTCAAAAGCCTGCTGAACTGAAAGGTTGGAGAGACACCGAGCCTTTGCGGCGGCCCATACTGCCGCGCCCAGGCCCAATGCCTCTAGATCTGTGATCGGTGATGAGCACTGAGTCTATGCATTGGCGGAGGAGATCAGAGCCTTCTTGGACTCTCACGCGTCCAAGCTAAACAGAGTGTGTCTTACACCAGCAGTGAAATGTCTTCGGCTCCGATAAAATCCGGGATGAATGCATGCTCAACACGTCCAACAGCCGACAAGTTCTACCTCCTGCTCTGGCTTCGCAACTCAGGAAGAGCTTCTGGACGACAAGAAGCATTGGGCGGCAGTGGACGACGTGGACATCGCAGAGCAGGTCGGCTTGTAAACCCCTGGCACTAAGCCACTAGTGCCACAGGGCTCGTCTCTGCTCCTGTGAGGATCCCGAGTTCATGCAGGGCCACTTCGTGCTTGCCTGAGAAGCCAAGTACTTCCATGAGGTGAGACATGCAGTCAGCCCCATCGCGCCCCTTCCGTTCCTAGGTGAAAACCAACCCTCTCCGTGGCCTGACGGAGGAGCGTGCCGAGGCACTGGCCGGAGTGCTGACCGGCGCCGCAACTTGGCCGCAAGGTTCGGTTCCCGCAGCTTAGTTAGAGGCTTCGAATGAGTTGGATATTCCATTGCATAGCACATTTCAGATGTAAGCGTTGTGCGTTGTTAGTTTTGGAAGTGACGGTTGACGATTGGCTGATTTTCGCGCGTTATAGTCTCTGATGTCGGCTGGAGCTAGCGCAAATGTGAGAGCTCGACAGTGATCGGCTGAGAGAGCGAAAGCTTCCGAAAAGCTCCTGAAGGCCGCGCGGTCACGAAGCCGCGCCTGGCTCACCTGGTTCTGAGCTGGAGATCCGCACCACGGAATCCATGGGCTCAGCAACGTGAAGCCACGGGTGCGAAAAGCGCCCAAGCCGAAGTTCCTCGAAGAGCCCGCCCCCGAAGGGTCTCCCGAAGCTTCGGTGGCCTTCCGCTCCTGTGCGAGAGGGTCGAAGCCCAGAGCGCTCTGCGGCCAAAAGAAATCGCGTGGCATCCCTGCCTCCCTCAGCCCCAAGCGGTAAGAGGGTTTAGGGTTAGGGTTTAGGGTTTAGGGTTTAGGGTTTAGGGTTTAGGGTTTAGGGTTTGGAGTAAACATGCAACCCCGAATCCCCTCTACGCAGCACCCCTAACTGAAGGAAAATGACTAAACTTTGCTGCAGGATATGTTATAAATGAGCCCTGAATCTGCCGGGCAGGTCCTGTCGAAGGCACCTTCCGGATTCTCGGACGCCAACTCCGTGTGTGCCGGGGGCCCCGAATCCGAAATCCTCCGACTCTCATCGGGCTTCCGGGTGTTTAGGGTTTAGGGTTTAGGGTTTAGGGTTTAGGCTTTAGGGTTTAGGGTTTAGGGTTTAGGTTTGAGGGCTTAGGCTTCGAGATGCTTCGGGTTGAGGGCAAGTTAGGGAGGGCTTGGGGTATACATGTACCCTGAGAGGAGAATCCAAAGAAGTGGAGCCCCCAAATAGTACCCTGCACTATACTACTCTTGGGGCCAGTTTTGAGGAACCCCCCTTTAAAGGGATCTACCTTTCTGTTAGGCACCCCTTTAAGGGGATCTATTTCTGCAGGGTCCCACCCTAAACCCTAAACCCTAAACCCTAAACTTTAAACCCTAAACCCTAAACCCTAAACCCTAAACCCTAAGCTCTAAACCCTAAACCCTAAACCCTGAACCCTGAACCCTAAACCCTAAACCCTAAACCCTAAACTTTAAACCCTAAACCCTAAACCCTAAACCCTAAGCCCTAAACCCTAAACCCTACACCCTGAACCCTGAACCCTAAACCCTAAACCCTAAACCCCAATGGCTCCGGGACCGTCTCTCTCTTCATCAGGTCTTTGCCATGAAGGGCAAGTTCCTCAGCGACGCGAGCACCGACACGCTGGAGCAGATGGGTGCCGAAGCTGCACCGGCAATTGTAATCAGGGTTTAGGGTTTAGGGTTTAGGGTTTAGGGTTTAGGGTAAGTGAAGTCGGTATAAGTAGATATATATTAGAAGAATAATCATAACAATAATGAGACGAAGAATAATGGCAATAGAACCCTAAACCCTAAACCCCGCAACCTAACCCCTAAACCCCAAGAACCCCAAGAACCCCGAAACAGTTAGCAGAACCCTTGCCCATTTTGGGTAATAATACCACCAGTCAACCCATTAGACGATTATTCCTATACTCCCCCCTACACCTCACCAACTATATCACTACTACTACCCCATTGCCAATACCAGTATAGGAATAACCGATTACCTCATCCATGTAAGAGGATTATTCCTACACTCCCTAACACTTCCCCCAAATATCACCGCTACTTCCCCATTACCAAGACCAGTATAGGAATAACAATTTACCCCATCCATATTCCCTAAGGTGGTATTATCATCCCAAAATGGGCAAGGGTTCTCTTATGGATTTTACTAGGTTTAGTTTCAAAGGTTGTAGTCAGAATAGAATTATATTCCATAAACTCTTATGAAATGTGCTTACATTATACTCATGGTTTTAATTCATTTTTCCGTTTTTCATTGTATGCTTTCATTCCATCAAGACATTCACAACAAGTAACCGTGGTTCTATACTGCATTAAATACCTACCTGTTTTACAATAATAATATCTCTTAAAATGCACTAAATTTTTAAATTTTTAAATTTTTTAGTTTGCATAAGATGGGAAGAAACCCGAAAATTTTATATACCGACGATGAAGGCGCTTTATCTAAGGAAGCTATTCAAACATACTTAAAGGAACAGAAAATAGAGCACCACAGGACAAGGGCACACGCAAATTTCAGTGAGAGGGCGATCAGAACTCTTAAGGACATGTTCTATAAAAGAGTTGAGGCTGACGAGAAGAAGGGGAAAAGTAATATTCAATGGACTGATTATATTCACGAGATATTGCTGACATATAACAACCAGATGATACATTCCGCTACAAAATTCACGCCGAAAGAGGCACGAAAACCAAGTAACGAATTAAGCGTCAGGTTGAATATTGCCAGTAGTGGTAAACGGAAGAGGATATATCCGGATCTTGACAAGGGTGACGAAGTCAAGATATTTAGGAAGCGAAAACCGAATGAGAAAGAAAGGGTTGGAAATTGGAGTAAAGGTGAATATACAGTTGAGAGAATAGAAAAGAAATTAAGTCAAAGTCATTATTATGTAGAAGGTATGGACAGAGCTTATTTTAGATTTGAACTGTTAAAGGTGTAAAGCATCAGGTATGGATTGAAGGTTGAAGTGAGTGTGTGGCAGTGAAACCGCCGGACAACGCCTAAATGCATTTGCAGACAACCTGCAGAACTTGACAAAGTACGGACAGGCGTGTCACGCAAAACGCAAAGCAGACTTCATCACAACATTAGCGGTAACAGACCTTGCTCGAAGCTTTGACAGTACGAGCCTCCAAGCACATGACCGCTACTGACTTGTCTGGGGCAGTCGCAGGCTCCAGCAGCAATGCCTTGAACTGCAAGCAGGCAATTCCCAAACTGAGGCGACACCTAGGCATAGGCACAGGCGCAATGCCGCCATAGTCATGCACTATCTTTCCAAGAGTCATGTGACGAACAGGTGGCTAACAGCAGTGATTATTTTGCTGATCTTCCCATGGCTCGTGATCCACCGCATCGGCGACGAAAGGTGCAGGTGGTGTTTACAAGCCTACATTTTGCAGCACTTTTGTGCGCTGGACCGATGCAAGCAGCAGTGAAGTGGACAAGCGCCGTCGAATTACAGCACATTTGGTCCAAAGACAACTTCGAAAGACAGGTTTACGCGCGCTTGGCAAGCTTCCAGAAAGTTCAGCGGTTGGCAGAGTATAAGGTTGCACAGAAAACTCTTCACATTGACCAACAGTATCGGTCCTTTGCAAAGCAGTTCTGCAGTCCGAAGGCGTTTTCTTGGTCTCCGGTGAAGCGCGCCAGCAGCAACAAGGTGAACAACAAGGTGGACACCTTCGAGTGCGACCTCTACATCAGATGTCCTTCCGCTAGTCAGTCAGTCAGTCAGTCATGTGTTTCGAGATTGCGTTGACAGACTCCGAGCGATAACAAAACATGCAAACCGGTCCCACTGGGACCAGCAGACATTCGGTGTCCTGCTCGCAGAGGTTGCACAGAAAAGTTATGGCAACTCGAGCGTGCTCTACAGTTTGGCCCACCAGCATTGAAGAGCCCAACATGTTGCATCGTTTGCATCAATGGTGATGCTGCACTCTTCGAAGATGCAGTGCATGCTGCAAGGAAATCTCTATCCCAAGCGATCACACGCCTGTCTGCAGTTCCAGTCTATGCCATTTGGACCGAATATCGCAGCACCTACGCAGAGATCCGTGCCGTCAAGGACGAGCTCAAGGAGCTCAGTCGCAAAAGTGACCGAAATGAGGCCGCCGTCGACCGAAATGAGGCCGCCATCAAGGAGCTCAGTGGCAAAAGTGACCGAAATGAGGCCGCCATCAAGGAGCTCATTGGCAAAAGTGACCGAAATGAGGCCGCCATCAAGGAGCTCAGTGGCAAAAGTGACCAACTCATGGAGATGATGAAAAGAATAGCCGATAGATTGGGCGATCCTGCGGGCAGCTGACCTTCGATGTTTGCCATCAGCCTTCAAAAAGACTGCAATGGTCATGACTGCTGCTGTGCTGATAGTTTTAACACTCTAACAGTACCTGGACATGAACTTTCCTCTCTTGATGCTCACGCCTTTCCACCAAACCTAGTAAAATCTATGAGAGAACCTTTGCCCATTTCGGGATGATAATACCACCTTAGGGAATATGGATGGGGTAAATTGTTATTCCTATATTGGTCTTGGTAATGGGGAAGTAGCGGTGATATTTGGGGGAAGTGTTAGGGAGTGTAGGAATAATCCTCTTATATGGATGAGGTAATCGGTTATTCCTATACTGGCATTGGCAATGGGGTAGTAGTAGTGATATAGTTGGTGAGGTGTAGGGGGGACTATAGGAATAATCGTCTAATGGGTTGACTGGTGGTATTACCCAGAATGGGCAAGGGTTCTGCTAACTGAAACCCTCCCATGGGTCCAAGTAGCACCCCTGGAGCTGGGCCCGGGCCTTCTTCCTAAGTCCATGGACACAAAACCTCGAAGCCCCCTGACATTCTTCTCCAAGCCACGAGGCCTTCACGAGGGTGGGCAGGTCATCGCCGTCATCAAGCGCCTCGGTCTGGGGGATTTGGGGTTTTGGGGGATGGTTTCTAGGGGTTTCTTGAAGTTTCTTGGCCCCTCAAGGGGGGCCCCCGGCGTGGCTTTGTCGCAGCGAGGCCAAAGAGTTCGCCGCCTCGGTGAGGCTGTGGGCGCACGGAAACTCAGCGTGCAGCATGGAAAACCCTAAACCCTCAACCCTCAGCCCGAAGCCCTAATCCCTAAACCCTAGTCCTTAACCCTAAACCCTAAACCTAAACCCTAAACCCTAAACCCTAAACCCTGAACTAAAGGGTCTGCCACAGTGGGAGGCGCAGCGACTTCCCCGAGCTTCATCCAGAGGGTGGTGCCTCGCTTTTCACGCCAAGCTGCCAAGGTGAAGTAAGACCGTCTTGCGCCTTGACTTACCCTAGACCCTAGACCCAAAACCCTAAACCCTAAACCCTATAAACGTACCCTAAACCAGAAACCTCAAAGAACCCCAAAACTTAGCTTACAAGACAGCCACCTGACAGCTTGTGCGGGCTTCTCAGCGCCTCAGGCGAGTAGGAACAGTGACGTGCCGAGCTGAAAGAGGGGGCGCCTCTCGGTGGGATTGTGCTGCATCAGCTTTCGGCAATCAGTGTTGCCACTTCAAGGAAAGTGGGGAAGTCCAAGCTCAAAACCCTGAACCCTAAACCCAAGACCCTAGACCCTAAACCCTAAACCCTAAACCCTAAACCCCAAACCCTAAACCCTAAACCCTAAACCCTAGGCCCCAGGAGTCAGGCTTTGGACCTCCGTACTTCAATTTGCCTTGTGCTTTGGCTCTGAGCGTCATCAGCGGGCTTTTTGGGTCGCTCGCGGTTCGGAGTGACCGCTTGAGCAGGCACTGCCCCCCTCCCCCCGAATTTCGGCAGGCTGTGTGGCCTCGAATGCAGATCTGTTTAGAGTTTAGGGTTAGGGTTTAGGGTTTAGGGTTTGGAGTGGGTGTTCCCTGAGGTACCCGCTGCAGGTATGGTGACGGTGGTCAACTCGAAAGCAGATGTCCTCAAGGCCTTCTTGATTACTCTGTGAGGGGAGTGGATCCCACAAAACAACACTGGCATATACAATCTTCCCGAAACTTACGCATCTAGAACATGTGTGACGCAGCAATGTTGCTGAAGCTTCTCACTCGCGGTTTTGGGCTTGTCATGATGGAGCTCTGAAGTAGTGAAGCTGCATCTCTCTTGTTCTTTAGTCTTTCTTTCATGTATCTCTCTCTCTCTCTCTCTCTGTCCCTCTCTCTCTCTATGTCCCTCTCCCTCTCTCCCCTCTCTCCTCTCCCCTCTCTCCTCTTCGAGAGGCCTCCCAGGCGCTGGCCGTCAACCTCAATGCAGCGAAAGGGCTGCAGGAGGCGCCCAGCGGCAGGGTTTGGGGGAGGGTCCGGGCTGAGGGTTTAGGGCGGCGTCGGGTTCAAGCTCCCAAGCTTAAGATTTCCATTCCCTACTCAACACCCCTGAGCCCAACCCCCTCCGGCCCCGAAAGCCCCTGAACCCCCAAAACCCCGACCTCCCTGCAGTTCCGACACGGGTTTAGGGTTTAGGGTTTAGGGTTTAGGGTTTAGGGCTATCGTCCCCAAGATCCCGAGAGCTGCATCCTTTGGGGGCATCTGAGTAGTTGAATCCTCAGTCCAGGTTTCCTTTGGAGATGGCCTTGTGCCCTAAACCCTAAACCCTAAACCCTCAACCCTCAACCCTCAACCCTCAACCCTCAACCCTAAACCCTCAACCCTCAACCCTCAACCCTCAACCCTCAACCCTCAACCCTCAACCCTCAACCCTCAACCCTCAACCCTCAACCCTCAACCCTCAAACCCTAAACCCTAAACCCTAAACCCTAAACCCTAAACCCTAAACCCTAAACCCTAAACCCTAAACCCTAGCCCGAATTTGGGGCACCTTTGGGTTCTTTTGCCCTCAGAATAGCTCCACAGGCTTCCTTGCGTCTCGCTTGGGCCGAATCCCGACTGACCTGTAAACCCTAAACCCTATCATTCTCAAACCCTAAACATTAGAACCCTAAACCCTACGACCCTAAACCCTAAACTCGAAAACCCTAAAACCCTAAAACCCTAAAACCCTAAACATTAAACCCTAAGACCCTAAGACTTTAAGACCCTAAGACCCTAGGACCCTAAGACCCTAAGACCCTAAGACCCTAAGACCCTAAGATCCTCAGACCCTAAGACCCTAAGACCCTAAGACCCTAAGACCCTAGGACCCTAAGACCCTAAGACCCTAAGACCCTTAGACCCTAAACTCCTCAGGTGATGAAGTCAAACCTGGGACCGCGAGGTGGGAACCCTGCCTTGGCTCACATGAGGACAGGGTTGTGGTGTTCTTTTTGCTCCAGGCATTTCAGGCTTAAGAGCTTGGAGTTTTTAGGGTGTAGGGGTTTAGGGTTTAGGGTTTAGGGTTTAAGGTTTAGGGTGTAGGGTTTAGGGTTTAGGGTTTAGGGTTTAGTGCGGGCTTAGGGCTGGGAGTTGAAGGAGTCAGGTGAAGCTCAAGGGTTTGAGGTCTATAGGGCTTCAGGGCTCCAGGGGGCGAAGGGCTTTGTGGTGAGGTCGCCCCCGCGGGTGCTGCCTAGGGTTTAGGGTTTTAGGGTTTCAGGGTTTAGGGTTTAGGGTTTAGGGTTTAGGGTTTAGGAGGCCTCAAATCCCCATACCCGCTGAGGAAGAAGAAGGGTAGGTAGCAGCACTTTTTGATGATAGCGAACCGTTTAAACCCGAAACACTAAACCCTGGACGGTGCGACCGGATCTGTAGAAGAGCAGGAGAAGAGACATCGAGTTTTACAGTAAGGAGCCTGCTGGACAACTTTCTGTGTTCTTGGCCAGCCCTTTCAGCCAACATGCTCTGAGGGAGGTTCTAGCAGTAGTTAATCCATGCCATCCAAAAACGCCATCTATAGAGTCCAAGCATTTCGGCTTTAGGATGCCCCCAACCGTAAACCCAAAACCTAAACCCCGAACCTTGCCAGGGACACTGAAGATGCTGGTGGGTGGCGCTGGGCAGATCAAGATCACCAAGGAGAGCCATAGGGGTACCGGGGTTTCAGGTTTTGTGGCATAACAACAAGGCTTAGCGTTCAAAATCGTTAGGACTGTTCAGGGGGTTCTACAAGGGTTCTTATCTTCAACGAGGGCATGTTCCTTCCGCCGGGTAGAACCTTGACCCAAGAAACATGCAAACTTCCCAAAACAAATCCCAGCACAGCCTACAGCTTCCCAAAGCATCCCCCCAAAAGTATCCGGAAGCCTCCGAAAGGAAGGGTTCAGGGTTTCAGGGTTTAGGGTTTCGGGTTTAGGGTTTAGGGTTAAGGCCGCCTGGAGCTCCCCCCCCCCCAGGACGGATCAGTTCTGCTCGGGGAGATGCAAATTCAGCATCCCACCGCCTCCATGATCGCCAGGGCTGCCAGCGCCCAGGAGGGGTTTAGGGTTTAGGGTTTAGGGTTTAGGGTTTAGGGTTTAGGGCGCAGGGATGGGCTCGGAGGGTTGCGGGGGTTGAGGGTTCGGGCTTCGGTCTTGGGGCTCAGGGTGTAGGATACCTCCCCACGAGCAGTAGTATGATAAATTCATGGAGGTGTATCTACACGGGGTTCTTTGAGGGCATCGTAGAATTGCAATGAGAACTTTGCGGCCGCGTGCAGGAGGTGGTTTAGGGTTTCAGAGGTTAGGACACTTCTCAGAGCAAGCCCCCCCAAACCCTGAACCACCCGAGTGGCCAGGACGAGTTCACAGGAGATGGGACGACATCCAGGTTCCCATGTGTCGGAGTCAGATTGAAGGAATCCCCAAAGGGTTGATGGCCTAGGTGTGGCCTTGGGGGTCCCAAACCCGAAGTTCTATAAGCCCTATGCCTCTCCTTCGCGAAGACGAGTACAGCATAGTCCAACATTGTACAACATAATACAAACAGGCACGCTTGTACGTTGTAGTACAAAAGGTACAATATAGTACAAGATGGTACAGTATAGTACAATACATTACAAAAAACACAATAGCACAATATTGTACAATTGGATACAATCTCGTACAATATAGTACAAGGTCAAACAGGATTGTACAAGATAATGCAAGACGATACCATACAAAGACAAGACACTACAGCACACGACAAGACAATGCAATATGAGATGCTACAAGATACAAGATACTACAAGACAACACAACAAACTACGCTATAATGCAATACACTACACCAGATAGCAATACAATGACTACGGAATCCGAAAGAAATGCAATATCACATAATTTCAGCACTTTGAAGTTTTCAGCTGCTTCGCATGCAGAGATGCGAGCCCTGACCGAGAGCCCAAGCCCTAAATACTCAAGGCCCAAAGAACTCAGAAACACAACTTGACCCTAACCCCGGAACTTTCCCACCCACCCCCTCTCACCCGCCGCCCCCCCACCTCCCCGCCGGCCCCCGCCGGCCCCCGCCGGCCCCCGCCGGCCCCCGCCGTCGGCCCCCGCCGTCCCCCGCCGGCACTCGCCGGGCCCCGGCGAACCCCCGCTGGACTCCGCCGGCCCCCCACCGGCCCGCGCCGGCCCCCGCCGGCCCCCCGCCGGCCCCCGCCGGCCCCCGCCGGCCCCCGCCGGCCCCCCCCCCCCCCTTAAAAAAAAAAAAAAAACAAAAAAAACGAAACTCAGAAAAACTCACAGGGATTTTTTTGCAAAGAGCTCCAAAAGCCTTGTCCGCCCCCCTGCCAGTGTGATGTTCATCGGGGAGCTGATGAAGCTCGCGGAGCAGAGTCTGGCAGAGGGACTCCACCCGCGGCTCATTGCGGAGGCCGGGAGATGAACTTTAGGGTTTAGGGTTTAGGGTTTAGGGTTTAAGGTTTAGGGTTTAGGGTTTAGGGTTTAGGGTTTTTGCTAGGGCTTTTTTGGGGTGGGTGTTCGCGGTTCGGTTTGGGTTTTTTGTGCAGGGGCTACATTGACCTTCGGGCTTCAGGGTTTAGGGCGGCGTCACCAAGGCAAAACTTTCCTTTCCTTGCCTTGTCGTCCGCTTTGGTAGTCCGGATGTGCAACATCGGCCCAGGCCCCCAGCCCTGTTCTTTTGGGGTTTAGGGCTTTCGGCGTTCGGGTTTCAAGCAGTCCGAACACTGCGGTGTTCATGGTTTTTCGGTATGTCCCCCGACCTCCCCCCCCTCGCCCCGACGCCCTGAACTCTACTCCCAAGCGCCTTCTTGCCAGGGCTTCGAGCTTGCGCGGGAGGAGACTGTGAAGTTCCTGGACTCCTTCAAGGCCGAGCCACAAGGGGGGGCCTTTGGGGTTTGGGGTTTAGGGTTCAGGGTTTGGGGTAATAGGGTTTAGGGCTTGGGGCTTAGGGTTTTGACCGAGTATCATAGAAGTATACCTTTCAGCTCGCTATCTTGGAATGGCTCTTGCACTATCAGAGGGAGGGGATACAGGTGAGATCGGTGAGCGTGGTTCCTGCGAGGGGAATCTTGAGTAGGGCAGTTCACTCCCTTTTTGGGTACCCTAAACATCAGAGGGCCTAGTGGGGTTGAGGGTTTTTGGGCGATCAGGGCACAGCAAGACGTTCGCCTCCCCAAATGCCCCACAAGATCGGGTCAGCGGAGTCGAGAACGGGTTGCAGGGCGAGCCATGAGAGTTTCGGGATCTTTGGACGTTGACGTTTAGGGACTTCGGGTTGAGGTTGTGGGCTCAGGAGTTCAGGGGCGTCTTGGACGTTTCGCGTTGAGGATCGTGGCTCTCCACAAAATGACGGTCCCTCTTTGGATACAATTCATGATAAGGGCCCTTAGCCCTCCAAGCCTTATGCCGACCCGAAACCCTCGACCCTCAACCCTCAACCCTCAAACCCTAAACCCTAAACTCTAAACCCTAAATCCTCGAACCCTAAACCCTAAACCCTAAAACGCCCCTAAAACGCCCCTAAAACGCCCCTAAACCGCCCTCAAAGCCCTGGAAGCCCAGGTCCACCTGGACGACCCGCTCGGCGACCGGGAAAAGCTGGTCTGCGTGTCCAGGACCTCCCTGAGGCCCCGCAAGGAGGTTGAGGGGGGGAGTTAGGGGGGGTTTTAGGGGTTTGTGGGGGTGTTTTCGGGTTGTGTTTTTTTTATTTTTTTCCAGGGTTTTTTTGGGAGGCGTTGGGAGTGTAGGTTTTTTTTTTTGGAAGGGTTTAGGGGGACTACGGGGGTTTTAGCACCTAAACCCTGAACCCTGAACCCTGAACCCTGAACCCTCAACCCTGAACCCTGAACCCTGAACCCTAAACCCTAAACCCTAAACCCTAAACCCTGAACCCTGAACCCTGAACCCGAAGCCGTGGAGAGCCCCTCCCTTCTTGCCCATCGCAGAACGAAGATCGCCCCCGCTCTGGCGGACCCCATGGCGGAGGTCGTGGTCGACGCCGTGCCCGGGCTGGTTTAGGGTTTAGGGTTTAGGGTTTAGGGTTTAGGGTTTAGGGTTTAGGGTTTAGGGTTTAGGGCATCGGAACTCTTAAGGGGGGGCCCCCTCAAGGGGGTTAGTCGGATTGGGTGTAGGGTTTCGGGTTTAGCGGTTTAGGGTTTGGCGGTTTAGGGGGTTTAGCGGTTTAGGGGTTTAGGGGTTTGGGGCGTTTGGGGCTGATTTTTCTCCATCCTCGGTTCTCGGGTTCCTGGCCGCTGGGCCGCAGACATCCGGGGAGAGTCCCACACAGAGTTTCCAGCCGAGTATCCATGCCGAGAATCCCGCAGAGTATCACTAGAGTGCTTATCTTTTTAGGAGCATCCTGCAGAGGAATTTCTGGGGCTCCCATTCCCTGCAGAATCACAGATTCTCAGTCGGTGAGACAGGTGACCAAAGTCGTTGTCAAAGCATGTGACCAGCGTTCGCGAGGCGTTTGCAAGCGTCCGCGCGTGCCGCACGGGAGCCGTAGTTGAGGAAGCCTGCCTTTGGACATCGTTTTTCGAGATGCTGAACCTTCCAAGGTGCGCATGATCAAGAAGCAGGGCACCCCGCTTGATCTCAACATGGTGGAGATTCTTCACATGAAGTGCGATCCCGAGAGTTCAGGGCTTAAGGGTTTAGGGTTGAAGCGAGTTGGGGTCTTTAGTGGACTCGGGAAGTCCTCATGGTTGAGGTGGCCATTTGGGGGTTTACGAAAAAGAAGGCACCCCTATTAGAGATCCCCAAATGGTAGGATCCCCTTATGATGAGCCCGAATTTTTAGAAACACCCATTTCGCATGTTTGAGCGTGCCCTGCCAGGAACAAGCTCGTGACAGAGACCCGGCTCATCAAGGGCCTCGTTTTGGACCACGGCGCCCGGCATCCGGCGCGGGGCCAACTTGTCGCGAGTCTGTCGGGCCTATTAGGGCCTATGACGGCCTATGAGGGCCTACTATGGCCCATTAAATCCTACTGGGGTCTTTAGGGCCGTTGGATGTCCAGCTGAAGTGGCAAAGCCCCCAAGGACATGCCGAAAAGGCTGGAGAACTGCCAAGTCCTCGGCTGGAGAGGGGAGAGGGTGCGCTTTGACAGACCGGAGGTCCCCGCACATCACATGGGTATTTCCCCAAAATAGGGGGTAACCCCCCTATATATACCCCCAAGTAGAATAGAATCCCCTTAAAGGGAGCCCTCCAAAAGGGTCACCTTTATTTGCGGAAACCCCCCATGTACCCTAAACCCTAAACCCTAAACCCTAAACCCTAAACCCTAAACCCTAAACCCTAAACCCTAAACCCTAAACCCTAAACCCTAAACCCTAAACCCTAAACCCTAAACCCTAAACCCTGAACCCTTCACCCTAAGCCCTGAACCCTGAACCCTAAACCCTAAACCCTAAACACTAAACCCTAAACCCTGATAAGATGAGGTTACATACTGACCTGTAACGTCTCCCTCGAGTATGAGAAGAGCGAGGCGCGGTCCCCGGCCCACAAAGAGTTAGGGTTTAGGGTTTAGGGTTTAGGGTTTAGGGTTTAGGGTTTAGGGTTTAGGGTTTAGGGTTTAGGGTTTAGGGGCTAGGGTTTAGGGTCTAGGGTCTAGGGTCTAGGGTTTGGGGTTTAGAGTTCGCACCTCAAGAAAGGGATGTGAGGGTTTCCGAAGTTAGGGGTTCCTTTTTGGGGTGCTTATTATAGGGGAGTCCTACTATTGGGGGTCTATAGTAGGGGTCAATGAGTTTTTTTTGATTTTTGGAAACCCCCATGTTAGCTGCCTAAGTCCATATCTAAGCAAGACTTAGCTCCTTTCATCCTTCTGCTATGCTGAAGGTCAATGCCGGGTTCTTCTACAGCAGCACGGAGCAGCGCGAGAAGTTGGTGGAGTGAGCCCGCCGCGCTTGTGCTTAGACCAGAGCGACGTGAGTCTTGTCAGTCACATGGGGCTGTTCTAAAAATTGGGTTCAGGGTTTAGGGTTTAGGGGTTTTTTGGCGTCCGTTGAATCGGGAGCCTCGTACAAGAAGGAGCCTAAAGGGGACGAACGTAGTACAACCCCCCCCCCCCCCCCCCCCCAAATGCGAGAGTCCTCCACTCGCATCGACTAGTTCATGCCTCGGCACACGATCGCTCTGTCGCCAGTTCCGAGCGGAAATTCACGGACGAGAAGGTGAAGAAAATCATCGCCACCCGCCCAGACGCTGAAGGTCTTGTTGTGGTTTCTTGCCCCCTTGGCTCCCAGAGCTTGAGAAGAGATCTGTTCCCATGACGTCTCTGCCCTGGCAGCTTTTTCAGGAACTGAAGAAGAAAGTTTGTACCGAGGAGTCCTGCGGGGAAGTCTGTGAAGCCTTTTCCCGAACCTTCCGGTGAGATGAGACAGATTACTTGGCAGGAGAACGGTAGAACCTTCGTCGTCATCAACCAAAAGGGAGTCGACCCAACATCCCTCGAGATGCTGGCTCGCGAGGCACGACTCCGCAGAAAAGGCTGTAGCCTCGTTTTGGGGTCGGAAAAATTATTCACAATATTCCCTTAGGGTCCCTATATAAATGTACGATAGCGACCCCCAAAACCCCATGCGAATTATTCAGGTCCCTATGTTACGCTGTGAGTTTTTCGGTGGCACATACGGCACGTGCATGGCTCGCAGCCGTTTGGATTCAGACACTCGTCCCGGCCCTTTCTGGACTCCCTGCCCGCACCTCGGCACCCCGATTTGAGGGGGCTGGATACAGAATATGGGAAGCCCCCCCCCCCCCCTCTCCCCCAAAGACCCCAACTGGCACCCAAAGTCAAAAGAACTCCCCGGCAAGCACGTCAGTGAGGCTTCAGCGATGACCCGCACCTCGCCCAAGGGATCGGTGATGGCGATGGTGATCCTGGCCACGGGGCTGAGATTTGCTTTGTACAGTAGAACATGGGAATCTCAAGCGATGGGAGCTTCGGGGATATAGTTTATGGAGCCCATATGGGGGTTTACGAGAATAGGGGATGTACCTTCTTGGGGTGCTTTTCAAAGGGGATCCTTCTATTTGGGGGTGTTTACTAGGGGTCCCTTATTTTCGTAAACTCCCACAGGGCCTATCTGGCAGAGGAGTATAGGTGCTTCTGAGACCACTTCCAGGCAATCGCCGTGTGGTCCCTGGCCCCTGGCCTGTCCTACACCGCACCGCCCGGCGGCGGCCTGAACCGGAAGCAGAAGCACGGCAACATCCGCAACAAGGACAAACGTTAGGACTCCCTAAGAACCCCAAGGTTCGAAGACCTACTAGTAAGACCTGAGAACCCTACAAATCCTACAACAGCTACAGATAAACCCCAACAAGCCCCAATAAACCCTAGTGACCCCTAATCAACCCTCTAAACCCTACAGACCCGCAACTGTCAGGACAAGCTCCCGGATGTCTACGAGATTCCCTTGGAGGAAGAGGAGGTGGGTGTTTACGACGTTCGGGGTACGTTATTGGGGTCCATACTATAAGGGTGAGCGGTCCCCTAAACCCTAAACCCTAAACCCTAAACCCTAAACCCTAAACCCTAAACCCTAAACCCTAAGCCCTAAACCCTAAACCCTAAACCCTCAGCCCTAAGCCCTAAAGCCTAAAGCCTAAACCCCCAGGTGGAGCCTGAGGCCAAGCCGGAGATGCCCGACAGGCGCGTGCCCTACTCGATGCACATCGTCACGCAGCCCCTCTGAGGCTGTTGAGGAAACCCTAAACCCTAAACCCTAAACCCTCAATGATCAACCCTCAACCCTAAACCCTAAACCCTAAACCCTAAACCCTAAACCCTAAACCCTAAACCCTAAACCCTAAGCCCCCCTAAACCCTAAACTTTAAACCCTTTTTCTTTTTTCCTCCCTTTCTGAAGGGTTACCGGAGATTTCTTCCCTTCTAGTTGAGCTCCTGAACTCTGGAACTTTGGGGCTTCGGGTTCTGGATTTTGGTGGGGTTGAGGAACTTGAGAGGGAGGTTCCTGACTTCTGGGCCCAGGCTCCCGCAGCACAAGCACCTCCATGAGGAGAGCAACGCGCGGAAGTTCATCGAGGAGAGCCTGAAACCCTAAACCCTAAACCCTAAACCCTAAACCCTAAACCCTAAACCCTAAACCCTAAACCCCTAAGCCCTAAACCCTAAACCCTAAACCCTAAGTTCATGGAGGATAAGCTGGTGAACTCCCTGGAGAACTTCGAGGAGTTCATCCGGCACGTGGAGGTCCACCTTCAGGTGGGTGCCTTAGGTTTAGGGTTTAGGGTTTAGGGCTCCTAGTACGTATCTTTTGGGGCTTGTATTTGGGGTACCCCCTACGTACTGTCTGGGATTTACCTTCAGGTATCCCCGCACTTCCACCGGGAGAAGCGTCCGGACAAGGCCCCCAAGATCAAGACCACCGTGTCCTTGGACGAGGACGGCGTGTTTTCTCTGCTGGTCTACTGTGGGGGGGGGGGGTGTCGGTCTGTCCGCCCCCCCGGTGAAGCTTTGCATGTCCCGTGGCGGAGTGAGCCACTGCAAGCGGACTCTTCCAGTGATACCAAACAGACACACCTGACATCTCGCGCACAGTAGGGTTTCAGCGCTTTTGCCTGAAGATGTTAAAGCCAGCAGCCCCCGGAGCCCTTGTCAAAGAAAAAGGGGGCGGATCCCTTACCGCTACCCCCTGGAGGATGGTGAGGAGGTGCAGGTCGAGGCGCAGCAGGACCCCGGGCACAAGATGCTGACCCCCTACATCGTGAAGGCCACCCTGACCTTGGTGAACCACCACAAAGTGGTGCTGACCAACCCTGAGAAGCACGCCCAGCCGAGCCTCACCGAGGCGGTGGACCACATGATCGACGTCCTGCGCCACTCCATGCGGGAGGAGAAGAACCGCATGATCTCCGCGAAGAGGAGGGCCCAGGAGAATGCCCTTCCCGACGACATGGACCACCTGCTGGATGAGGACGTGGGCCCCAGCAAGCCCAAAAGGGGCCCTGTAACATTCTGAGATAGACTTCCAAACCTCTCTACAGACGGAGCTCCTTGCCCCCCCACCCCCTACCATAAGGCCTCTTAACCCTATAAGCCCGATAGACCTTACATGGACCCCAGAAGCATCATACCCTGTATGACACAGTGGGGCCTTTATGAGCCCTTGATTAAGCTCCCAAGCCACGGGACGTGCTGCTGTGTGAGGTGTTCCAGGGTACCCGGGGGGGGGGGGGCAGTCTGCGGGGTTCAGCAACCGTGTTCCTTCAGGACACCATGACGCGTGGCAACTAGAATGATTCCTGGCCCTAACGGCTTTGATTTGTAGCGACATGTGCACAAAAGATCCCAAGAAGGTTTGCCATACTGTGAACCAAGATGAAGAGATGAAGAGCAGGAAATCTCAGGAGGGGATGGGGTTCCGAAGGATTCCCCCTCTCAATCCCCTGGATGGACATGCAGGTAAGATTATCCTGGAGCTCATAACCATCAACCCTAAACCCTTACCTCTTAGTTTTTTTGGCCTTTCTTACAGTTTCAGTCAATCTGCCCACCGACGTTTTGCATATTTCGGTCAATCGGCACCAGTGATGTTCACATTTTGGTCAATCGGTACCAGTGTTTTGCAAATTTCGGTCAATCGGCACCAGTGTTTTTCGTCAATCGGCCAGCGGTTTTCTTCGAGATTTCGGTCAATCGGCTCCAGTGTTTTCAGATTCCGGAGAATTGGCTACCGCCCTAAACCCTGCAAACCCTACAAGCCCTCCAAGACATCCAAGCCACTTGGGGGTGTCTGGAGTTAGGGGTACCTTACTGGGGTCCTGATTATAAGGGCCTACTATTGGATCTAGATTGGGTCCCCTGTTTCGAAAACCCTAAACCCTAAACCCTGAACCCTGAACCCTGAACCCTAAACCCTAAACTCTGAACCCTAAACCCCCACTTGTGGAAGAGGACGACAACCTGGCCGTCTCCAACAGCCTCCTTGACAGCACTCCCGAGGAGGACGCAAGAATGGAGGCTCTGCACCATGGCCCAGAGCTGCTGCATTTTTTTTGTTTGTTTTGCTTAGGGTTTAGGGTTCAGGGTTTAGGGTTTAGGGTTTAGGGTTAAGGGTTGAGGGTTTAGGGTTGAGGGTTGAGGGTTGAGGGTTTAGGGTTCATGTTGTAAGTTCTAAGCTACTAGTGGTTTCCAGCTCTTTCTTGGAGGTCCTTCGTGCCCGTCGGGTCCTTGTCTGGCTTCCCTGAAAATCTGGAAGGGGGCCGTGTATGACCGGGACGCGGGAGAAAGGGCCATCGTTCAGGGAACTGAAAACCAAAGTACTTTTCACAGGGACACCTAATTGGAGCAGTTTGGGGTGAAAGCAAAGACAAGACCACCTCTTGAGCCCACGGCCTGCGGCGTCTTCGGGGGGGCTCTTCTCCTTAGCAAATGTGCCCCCGCATGTTCGGCCCCAGCCACGGATCGCCAGTGGATCCGAGCATGCCAGACATGAGACGGAAGCAAGCCCCCGCAGCGGCGGCCCTAGTCCGCTATGTCAGACAACGAGAGCCCCTCGCAGCCGCAAGCTCAACCTGGAAAAGCGGCTGCAGCTCATCATGATCACCATATCACCATCATCACCATCAGTATCAGCACCAACGTCATCAGAAGCCCCAGCAGCAGCAGTGGCAGCACCAACAACTACGGGAGAATCCACCGGACGCACACCAGGTCACCACGTGGCCCCTGCCTGCCTTGTGCCAGTGCTGGCAGAAGCCCTAAACCCACTGTAGGCCCCTAAAGCCTGAGCACGCATTTTAGGGCCTGTGGGTAGGCCCGAAGGAAGGGCTGTGGATTGCCCTGCCGAACAAGGCTCCTGAACTCCTAAAGACCAAACCCCAAACAAAAGCCCTAAGCAAATCCAAAGCCCCCCAAGCCTGTAAACCCCCCTAATCCTCTAAACCCTAAACCCTAAACCCTGAACCCTTCACCCTGAACCCTAAACCCTTCACCCTAAACCCTGAACCCCCCCAAACCCTAAACCCTAAACCCTAAACCCTAAACCCTAAACCCTAAACCCTAAACCCTAAACCCTAAACCCTAAACCCTAAACCCTAAACCCTAAACCCTAAACCCTAAACCCTAAACCCTAAACCCTAAACCCCGCCCCTAACCCCAAACCCTGAACCCCAAGCAGAACCTCCTCGGCGGCCAAGGTACGAGCGCATCGAGGCTTCGCAGGCCTAGACTGCCTCACCCCGCCGACGCCTTCGACCTTTTCTAAGCTTTCAAGGCCCGGGAACACGAACCCCAAAGAAACCCAAAGAAGCCTGAAGAAACCCAAAGGAACCCAAAGAAGCCCGAAGAAATCCCAAAGAGACCCGAAGAAACTCGGAGAAGCCCAACGAAACCCAACGAACCCCTAAGAAACGCTGGTTCTTGAGTCCCTGGACCTGAAGGTTTGTATCCCTGTTGTGAGGAGCCGACGTTCCAGGTGTTGGAAGTGAGACGCGACGTGGGTTGCGGCTACCTTAGGGTATTTGCCAGGGTTTAGGGATGCTTCTGATGTTGGGGGGCGCTTCAAAACCCCCCCCCCCCCCTTTAGAGCTTAGGGTTTAGGGTTTAGGGGATGAGGGAAGTAAGACTGCACCAGAACGCCCCGAGTAGGCACAGATTGAGAAAAAAAACCCCAAAAGCCGCACCCCATGCTTTTTGAAGCCAGTGCCCCTTTGCGCCCTTCTCGAGGGCAGAAGAGGGTGGGGTGGTTGCAGGGAGACCTGTCTCCGGTGCTAAGTCAGCGCCTGGGGGGCTCCCTACGAAGTTCGTTGTAGGAGATGTCTTGGAGGCTTCTCATGTGGTTGATGATGTGCAACCACCCGGATCCTTTGATCGGTTTAGATCTCGAGCTGCTTGTTCCAGCAAGCCAAGACCGTTATTTTGTTCTGTGGCGGCAGCTCGAGCTACAATTCGGTAGCTGGACGAGAGTGGGCGTGCTGGTGCTGCATGGCGCGCGTTGTGATGCTGCAGCAGAAACCGCACACTGTCACAGGACGGATGTGTCTCACTGCGTGCCTTGCGTGCGCCAGCTTAAGCTTCACTACTTCACCTCGCGGAGCCCTTTCGTGTGTGACCTCGCAGGAAAAGGCACCAAAGCACCAGACAGAGATGTGGCCCCGCGGCGTAATTTGGCAAGTTGCTCAGGGTCCCAGCTTGGGAGGCTAGGCTGCACAACAGCTGCAGCGTGTTCCAAAACAAGAGCCACCAAAGTTGGCGGCAAGAATGCCATAAATGCACATCCGGCTATGTATACATCCGCGCAGAAAGAGACCCTGCAGATCTGGCTGCTCCTCTGGTTGCTCCAATCCTTGCATCCGAAACCCGGTCACCCGAGGGAGACGGGCAGTTTCCTGCATGTCAGATGGTCAGTGCCCCCGACTTTCGGCCCTGAATTCTAAGCACAAGAGGGTGGTGTCTAAACGCGAAAAGGGACAAACATGCAGATCTGACACCCCTGAGCCCGTAAACCCTAAGAACCCGTATGCCATGGTCAGGGCATCATCGCCCTGCGCCGTGCCAAGCGTCGGAACATGGAGCCCCGCGGACCAAGATGAGTGGTACTCCTATGTCGTTCGGGTTGGGGTTGCGGCCGGGTTTGGTTTAGGGAAAGCAAGTTGACATGACTTGGCCTGACGTAGGCATTCTGCAAGCATCCTGCTGTGCAAGCAGGAGTCCTGAGCACACAAGCTTCCCCATGAATGACTGCCTCAAGCCTCAACTCTCGAGCCTCAACCCTCAAGCCCTGAAGCCTTCAAGCCCTCAAGCCCAAACCCGGAAGACCCAAACCCTAAACCCTAATCCCTAATCCCTAATCCCTAATCCCTAAACCCTAAACCCTATACGGGGGGCAACCAAAGGGGGAAGGGATCAACCCCGAAGACCGCCCAGAACTTATATTCCCCAGATCGACCAGCACAACAAACACAGAACACGGACCAGGAGAACCAGGGAAGGGAGTAAAGGGGGCCTATGCCTAAGCACCTAGGAACCAACCCCAACCCCAACCACGCGGGCTCTACCTTTTTTGAGCTTGTGGCCTTAGTACTTCTGGCCATCCTTGAGCCAAACAAGATTTCCGGGTTTGTTAACCCTTCCAACTCCCAACACTAACTCTTTTCTACAATACCAGCTGCAGCTCCGCACTCCCCCTGTCCTAGGATTTCCTAGGACACATTGGAGGTGCAGATCTTTGGCCAAAAGCTGCCATTAGGGCAGCAGCCAGCTGCTTGAAATGCACAATATGGTTTTACGTCTTCCAGGACGAAATTATAGCACATTGGCTAAATCCACTAACCATAGAGAATCTTTTTTCCACCATGATCCTCTTATCATTGAAGACTCTTCGGCCTTCTTCACCACAAACCGTGGTCTTCGCTACGTGAAAAACTACTGACTTCTACTATCAGGGATTTCCATACCCTTAATAGTAACCACCACATTTTCAGCACATTGGCCGATCCAGCGCACCTGTCTCCAGAAAGAGAAAAACCATCCCTTCATCCATACCATCCAGTCACTTCTTTTTCCGATGGTTTGCAATACTGAGGTGAAGTTGCAGCAGAATATACTCCAGGTCCGAAACTGCAAGAACAGGATCCTGCACGCACCTTTGAATTGAGGATACCAATCCTTCTCTCTTTGCGTCCTCAATCGCTTGGCAAGATTGACCCAGCTCTGCACTCACAGCGGTAGACGCTTGCGCATCCACATCAGAGGGACGATCCTTTTCCTCAGGACCTTTCACCACCACCACTTCTTCCTTTTTGGGGCTCTGACTTTTCTCCTTCTTCTTCGTCTTTCCACCGACGTTTGACTTTGTGCGCATTTTCGAGGCTTTTTCCCCTGCAGAAACCACCGCATTGGATGATGATCCACCCTTCTCAATGGTCGCCGGCATCTTCTTCGGCTTTGGAACCAGGAGAGTGTAAGGATCTTCGATAACTGCAGTTTTCCTCTTCTTTTTAACCTTTTTTACCTCCT